CCTGGTCATGGATGATCCCCCCGGTCATTGATGATACCCCTGGTCCCCGATGACCCCCCCTGTCCCCGATGACCCCCCGGCCATGGTTCCCCCCCGTGCCCGCCATTCCCCGCCCGGCCGCGGGGGGCGCTGGCGGGGCCTCCCCCCCGCCATTGGCTCAGCGCGGCCGCAGCGCCCCCGCCCCGCCCCGTGCGGCTCCTCACGTACCCAGCGCCCCCCCCATCGCCCGACTGGCAGCCCGCTCGGCCAATCCGCGCCCGCCTTTCCCCCGCCGTAGCCAATGGCAGTGAGGGGGCGGGCCGCCCTGTGCAGAGGGCCGCGCGCTATTGGCTGAGCGGCCCTCTGAGGGACGCGAGGCCGCCCCTCCGCCCCGCCCGCGGGTGTGGGCGGGGCCGTCACACGGCAAGAGTCACCAATCGGCGCCCTCTCTCTCCTTGTTGTGCGGCGAGCGGCGTTGCTATTGGCTGAGAGCGCCGCCCGTCGGCTGCCGCGCGGCCAATGGGGGCGCGGGCTGCGCCCCGCTCGGCCAATGGGCGCGCAGGGGGGGCGGGCCGCAGGTGGCGGCCGCGGGCGCTGCGCTCTGCCGGGGCGATCCCCCCCCCCCCCCCCCCCCCCCCCCCCCCCCGCCTTCGGCTGCGCCCCCCGCGCCGCGCACGGACCCCCGGGCAGGTACGGCCGGACCGCGCCCTCCGCCCCCGCCCCGCCGCCATCCCCCTCCTCGGCACCCCCCCGGGGCCGCCCCCGCCGCGGGCAGCGCGCCGGGCCCGCTCCGGCCGCCCTTCGCCGGGGGTGAGCCCCCCCTGAGCCGCCCCGCTCGCTGCCGCCCCCTCAGCGCCCCTCAGGCGCTGCCCGCCCTTCATCGCGGACCCCCGCGCGCCCCTCCCGCATCCCCGCACCCCTCCGGCCGCCACCTCCCCGCAGGCCCGGCACGGGACGGGCCCCGCCGCCGCTTTGTGCGGGAACCCCCCGTGAGAGCCCCGGGAACCCCCCTCTCCCCTCGGGGCGCCCGGCCCTGGGTGCCCCCGGTCCCCCCGAGCAGCGGCTGTCGGGGGGTGACCCGCGGGGATCCGTGCGGGGAGCGGGAACGGTGCGGGCGATCCCGGCGGGTTCGGCCGGGCCCGGGGCTCGGTGGTGGTGGCGGCGGCCCCCGAAAGCTGCCGGGGTTGGCTCCGCGGTGGGAGAACCGGGGGGCAGGAACGTTGACAGCGGCTCTTTAATTCCTGTTCTCCTCCTCCGGGGACTGTCAAAGTCCTGGGGGGCAAACCCAGGCTTGCTTTTCTGTTTTTTTTTTTTTTTCCCCTTCCCCTTCCGTTTTCCTCTCTTTACATTTTTTTGTATTACTCGTAGGTGTATTTTGTATCCTTGGCGTGAGCGGGGCCCCCCGACCCCTCTCAGGGCCCCCTCCCCGGGCAGGTGGAACGAGGGGGGTCCCAGCCCAGCCCTTTGTGACCCGCGGGGTTTGTTCGCCGGGTCACGCTTTGGTGACTCCCCCCGGGCTTCCAGGGTTTGCCCTCGTTTGCAGGAACAAATAGAGGCCGGATTAGGCTTTGGTGGGATGTGGTGGAAGGGGAAACTCTTCGGGAAGCCCTTCCGAAGGGAAGCCGGGAGGAGGAGCGGCTGAGGGCGCTTGGATTATTCAGCTGGAGAAGGGACTTGGGGGGAGACCCCTCGGGGGGGCTGCAGCTCCGATCTCTGCTCTCTGGGACCAGGGACAGGAGCCAGGGAAGGGCTGGAGCTGTGCCAGGGGGGTTGGGATGGATCCTAGGGAAAGGTTCTTCCCCCAGAGGGTGGTGGGCACTGCCCAGGCTCCCCATGGAATGCTTAATTCCCAAGGCTCCCCAGAGCTCCAGGAGTGTTTGGACAACGCTCTGAGGGACAGGGGGGGATTGTTGGGGTGTCTGTGCAGGGCCAGGAGTAGGACTGGATGGTCCTTGTGGGTCCCTTCCCACTCAGGATATTCCAGGATTCTGTGATTCATCCAAAGGTGATACTTGTCTTTCCCTGGCTTGGAGCTGTTTAGGATCCAGGTGTGTTGCAGAATGACTGGAGCTCTTTGCATTAAAGAATTAAACTCACCAATGAGATTTAGCTTTGTGTGTGTTCCTTAAGTTCTGTATCTCAATAAAGCTGCTGGGGCAGACACGGGGGCTGTGCTGCTCTGCTGGTCTGGGATGGGGGAGTTTTGCTCTGTCTCTCGGTTGTCTTTGTGCTGGGCCAGTGCAAAACGGTGTTAGATCAAGCCTGACCCTTCCAAAATTAGGTGTCCTTTAACCAAAAAGAGTTAATTTTAAGGAGCTCTGCTCATCCAAAACCTTAATACCGTTTCCCCTCCTTTTCACCCCCAACATCCCTTTTTTCTTGGGAGCTTTTGCTTTTTTTTTTTTTTTTCTCCTCTATTTCCTTTTCCTGTTTGAATAAAATTCCCAGAATCAGAGGATTCTTAAGCCTAAAATTCAAGCCTCCCAGTTACATTTCAGCAATTACCTGAAGTAACTGTTGCAGGACTCAAGGGGGGTAATTGCTCTTGGACAGCAAGTTCCTAATTCTTGGGGTTCCCTGTAATGAGAGGAGGAGGTTGGGGCAGGGCAGGCGACTCCTGCGGTGCCCAAAGGAATCCAAGAGGAATCCAAGGCTGTTCCTTTGCCATCAGTAGGAGTTCCTGCCATGCAAAGGAGGGTGTAGGTGGCTGTACGTGATTCCTCGTTCCAGAGCTTGATGTTCAGGGATGAGGCACTCGCTGGAACATCTTCTGACAGGGAAATTCTGTCCAAGCTCACTCAAAGGATTCTCTCTCTTTTTTTTTTTAATACTCCTTGAAAAGAAATAATTGCCTTAACTGGTCCGGTGAGAGCAGAATATAAATAGTTCTGTATATTTATATATTTTGGGCTCACTCAACCACAACTTCTTTAATATAAATAAATAAATATATATATATATAGAGAGAGAATAAGTTTATTTTCTCAGTGGATGAAAGACCAAAGTGCACAGGTCTGGCATTCCAAGTCTGGCTTTAGGATGAACGTGAGGCCTCCCCCACGTTAGAGCTTTCACCAGCTTTTGATGAAAAGTTGACAGCAAAAAAAAAAAAGCCCTTTCAGGGAGGATCCCACCCTTTTCCTTTAGGTAATTCTGCCTATTTGAACGTGGAAAATCCAGCTGTGGGAAGTGAACCTGAGCTGTGGAGCCAAGTGCAGGGAGCAGCTCTCACTTCACCTCCTGTCATTCACCAGCTGAAGGTTTAACAGAGGGAGCATTTCTCAGGTGTTTTAAATCCCCTTAAAACACAGACAGCTCCTGAAGAAAGCTTGGGACTATTTCCATATAAAAGGCCACGAGAAATTTGATGTGAGTTGGGCAAACCAGTTTGGCTGGAAGGGCATGTTGGCTGTGTGGGGTTATTTTGCATTTATTTATCCAGATTTATGTGTCCTTATTTTCTCCTGGGCTGTCCAGCTGCAATACAGTAAACTCTGTGTTGGCATCAGGTGGCTGGAATCATACTTATATATTTTATATATATATAATTTCAAAGTTGAAATCTCGTTTTTAAGGGCAGGGAGGTTCCACCTGTGACCAGAAATAATCCGTGTCCTGCAGGCTGAGGCGAGGAAAAAAATAAAAGAGAAAGGAAAAGCTCTTTGCCGTGAGAAGAAACTTGATTTTTCTGAGTTGATTCAGGGGAATGTAGAAGGACTTTGGGCTGGGGATTTTCCCCACTCTTTCTGTGCCACGTGCAGGAGGATTTGCAGTGTGTGTGCCTGGTTGTCCCTTGCACTGGAGCATCTGTTAATAGCAAGGCAGCTAAAAATGTCCCCACAAGTGAGGGATTTGCTTAATGGGTTTGGAAGGCCCTGGGATCCTCTGGGGCTGCTCAGGGCTCTGTTTGAAATCAGTGTTTGTCACCTGCTGAGGAATCAGAGAGAGCTGGAAATCCTGGGTCCTGCAAAATGTTGGCCACAAATCCTGTTGTTTCCCGAGGGTTTGGGGGTTATAAGTGTCTCCCCATTGTGGGGTCAGACAGGTGTTTGTCCAATTTTGGTGTTTTCCACTAAGTTTAATAAGATTTTTTTTCTCTTTTTGACCTCTGGTTTGGACCAAAATATGTCCTGGCTTGTCAGGGTTTGTGGGTAGAGTCATTTGCTACCCTGGCTTAATTAAGGTACTTACTTTCATTTGTATTTCCGTGGAGTAAATGGTCCTCTTTTATAAATTGGGCAGTTCCTCAATAATGTTCTTGCTGGATTTCATGGGAGAACACATTTATTTTATTTGCTGTGTGATATAAAATCCTTCCATGGTCTGTGTGTGCCTCAGTCGGGGCAAAAGTGACCCGAAACCTAATTATTTTTATATTTCTGGGGGGTGGGGATTAAATGGTCTCGTTTTACCTCGAAGGCTTTGCTGTAATTTAGGTTTTAAATGGTCATCACTCCTCACGGCTGCAGTTTGGGTTAAAAGGTGTGAACTTGGGGGGTTCCCCCACACCTCTCTGTGCAGAGGATGGGGGGGAAGTTATTCCAGGGGGCACCTATTCCAGCTGAAGGGAATTCTGGAGCTCCTTCTCACGTTCCCTGGTGCTGTTCATTCCCTCCTGGTTCTCTCTCTTGCTCAGGAGATGGATTTTTCTGGCTCCTGAATTCCCAGCCTGGAATGTGGGTCAGTGTGTCACACCCACCCTGGGGCAGCACCCGAAGCACCTGGTGCAAAAATACACCCGAGGTGTTGATTTTATGTTGGCAAAATGCTCAAAAAAAACCCCCCCAACAAACCCCACAGAACGATCCAATTTCTTGGAATTCTGGGCTATAAAAACCCGAAGGGACCTAAAGCAGTTGAGCAAATTGCTGAGGACAGCTCTTCAGGCTTGTGGTTCTGGGAGGTTTGTTGAAGGAAAACTGGGAATTAGTCCTTATTAAGGCATTAATCTGATACAGGAATTAACTTTCTGGCCAAAGCAGGGCAGTAATTGAGGTTTCTGATTGCTTTGCAAGGTTTCTGATCTTCTTTCTCGTAAGAATAATGGGCTCTGGTTGCTTTATTTGAAGGTTTTTATTTGAAGGTTTGCAGTGCTGCTGCTTTGGATCAAGGTGTCTGGGGTTAAAACTTGGGAATCTTGTTCAGATTCAACAGGAATGTGTAAAAAAGAGGTGATTTTTTTTTTAACCTCATTTGCTCCAGGTCTGGCTTTCTCCTTTCACTGTGGTCTCACATTTGGGAATGGTGAGCTCATATTGCTAATTTTCGAAGTGAACCCGAAGGAGTTTTGTGTACCAGGGCACAGCAGAGCAGCTGGGAAGGCTCAGTCCACATTAAATACCTTTTTTTTTTTTAAACTAAGTTTTTAATTTATTTTTGAAATACTCCCAAAACCTTGCAGTCAGTACAGCAAAGACAATCAAATAACTTGTGTCGTGCAGCAGACTGGAGTTTGGGAGATCCCAGGTCGTAGGTTGTGCCTCAGTGGTGGTTTGGGAACTGATTTCTGTGGTTTCAGTCAGAGTTTATCTCCCCTGCTCAGTAAAACATGAGAGTTTTTGAGGTTCTGCTCTGGATTTAGTCAGAAATAACCATTACATGTTAACTGCCTCCCCTTAGGCAATAATAAACTGGTTTAATGCCTTACAGATTTATTGCACTTTAACCATTTTTTTTTTTGGTTTGTTTGC